CCATTTTTGAACAGTAATCTACTAAACTATCCACTTCTGTATTGATCTGCTAAATTATTGTCTGCCTGATCATAAAAGGAGTCATGTATTTTCTGGGGCAGTACAAGAAACAGAATATTTTACAAGCATCTTTACAGACTGAATGTACACATCGATTGCCGTTGAAGGGACGAGGATAAGTCAAAAACTAACCACACTTTCGCCATAACACATATTTAGGTTTGTTTCCTTCTGCTTATGTGTCCTTATAGTTGGTAATATTGTGATCACCTGATCGAAGTTTGAGCTTGATCACACCAGTTTTCTTGCTGCTGTTACAGTGTAAACATGACCGCTTACCTAGCAGTGTGCACCAAGGATGAACAAAGAAAATTGATCCGATTTCTCTGGACGGAAGGTGTGTCAAGGGCTGAAATTGATCGAATCCTTTTAAATCAATACGTCGACAGTGCACTTCCGCGTAGAAGTGTCAATGAGTGGATCGAGAAGTGGCCAGATAAGCGTGTCGCACGAAGAAGCACCAGGACGCTCAACAACCTCTACAACTGAGAAGAAGATTCAGCAACCTCGAGATATGGTAATGCCGAACCGGCGAGTCATCACCTATGAGGTAGCATGTTCTCTGCTCGAATCACTGCTCATTGTTCCACCTTAATGCGCACTGCTAGTGGAGCGGTCATGTTTACATTGTAAGAGCAGCAACCGAATTGGCGCGATTAAATTCAAACTTCGATCACGTGACCACAATAGCACCAACTATAAGTACGCATGAGCAGAAAGAAGTGCGATAAACTTAAAGATATATTATGACAAAAGAGAGGATATTGTTTTTACTTACCCTTGTACATTGTCAGATGCTTATATCTTAGACCAAATTAAGCAAACTTTTTAGTTAAGTGTTACATTTTTTAGTTCGATACTGTATGCATGCGCATTAATTGATCCCAGCCCTTTGGAATAGCCCCCTTTTCTATTCATAAGCAAAATTATTTCTAGCATAAGTCCGAATCTGATGACACGATCAGCGAATAGCGATTGCCAAGCGGTCCAACATAAAAGCCTTACGATTTTTGTTACAAACCCCGTCTTCTCTTCGGCGTATTTTACTGGGGGCCGGTGAGCGTTGGCTGTGACAAGGCGAAGCATTTGACCTCTCTGCATTTCATTGCTTTTACTGTGTACCATTCCGCCTGCTGAATGCACCCACAAAACGTTCGTGCACCATGAGGGCTTGCAGTAAATGATACCCCTTCGCCGGCTGGCGCCTGCCGCGTCTCGACTAACAATAAGGCACTGACTGAACGTAAGCGAACCTTCAGAATCGGGGACTCGCGCTAAGGACTCAACTCCTAACATGATTTTTACTTGTTTGCCGAGTCAGCACCTTCTTCACGCCTCCCCGATGTCTTAACATTTTTTTTAACAAAAGCTGCCAATCTTGTCTGCGTCTAGTAAATAAAAAAAAAACTTTATTTGGCGAGAACATATTGAAAATATTTGCTAACTTTAACTTAACCAGAAAGAGGACATGAGATAGCCAGTGAAGATTTTTTACACGATTATTCAACCAATACAATGCCCCAAAGTCACTCAAGGTAGATGGTTAATTTTATGGGTGTTAAAGGAAGCATATATGAGGATATGTAGAATAGATAACTGTTGGCCCTAAAGTTTAGAGTTATTGGGGAACTATCCCCTCGGGAGTTTCTTCCTCAAAGCAATGGCTCTTATGACGAAGCTGTCGGAAGAGAATACCCTTCTTGACAACAGAATACGAAAGAAATATGGATGATCCGATCTTGTGCACATGTACAGCTGTGAAGGTCTGAACTAGTGGAACTAAGGAATATAGCTGGTCTGAATATTTTCCATGGAGACAGCGATAGAGTAGCGATTGTCTCCCGACGTTTTATTTGTTGGCAAGAGGCTGTATGCTTCAAAATAATGCCTCTTCCGCAATCATCGACCAGATGTGTGAACGCTTTCGGGCTCTGTCAAGGCTGGAATGTGATGACTGATGAGCTACAGCTCAGATGTGGTAGCAATGTGGAGATTAAGGTCAACATTAAGCGGCGATAGTCTGTTTCATGCATAAACTTAACGGGCAGACCTGTCGCCGCTAAGTGTTGACCCCCAATATCTATTTTTATATTTATATACGCTCTATCCTTGATATTGAGTACTTTAACCGTATATCGTGGACTCTCCTGTAGTTTTCGACGTATGAGAATCTTTCAGTTCAAGTTTTTAAGTTTATGTTTCGTATGAGACAATAATCCTTCATGGGATTTGCAAAAAAGGCAACACAAGAGACCTTCTGACGGGTTGACCGTCATATGAGCAGAAGTATTAGCCCGAGATTTAGAGTTAATCCTTAATTCTCTCAGATGGTTGAGACGATTCTTTTCAAAGTTAATTATACCTTAGTAGCAGTATATATATATATATATATATATATATATATATATATATATATATATATAATTATTTTTTAAAAATATGATGCCTTCGTTACAAAAAGAGTTCTCATGTTTCAAAAACACGAGCCAAAAACTTCAATATAAATATTAAAATTAAATTGCCTTAAAGTATCAAGCTCTGTTTCATCCGCAAGCGAAATCTTGGGATTCCAAATGAAACAGAGTTGATACTTTAATTCAATTTAATGTTAATAATTATATTGACGTTTTTGAAACATGAGAACTCTTATGTAGCAATGGAATCATATTTTTAAAAAATAATTATAATTTAGGCTCTACTTTTATATCGAGCAGTTTTTTAAAAATAAAAAAATATATATATATATATATATATATATATATATATATATGATTATTACTTATAAAAAATTATAACATAAGTATGTTATAAAATCACTACAAAAATAGCCATTTTGTTTCAACACACTCTGTGTCTTATCAAGTGATGATGTTGAAAATAAAATATGGCTATTTTTGTAGTGATTTTATAACATACTTATGTTATAATTTTTTTTATAAATAATAATTATATCTGCTCTACTTTGTATTGAGCACTCTTTTAAGAATAGTAATTGTTGGTTATTGGAATTCATTCCGTATATACCAATTATATACTTGTATATATATATATATATATATATATATATATATATATATATATATATATATACGATGGACTCACCCGTCGTTTTCGACGTATGAGTGTCTATCAGTTCAAGATTTTAAGTTTATGTTTCGTATGAGACAACATTCGTTCACGGAATTTGCAAAAAAGGCATCACGAGGGACATGCTGAAGGGATGACCGTCATATGGGCAGATGTATTAATCCGAGATTTAGAGTTAATCTTTAATTCTCTCGAATGGTTGAGACGATTCTTTTCAAAGTTAATTATACCACAGTAGCAGGTTTTTCTCCATTTTATTCGGTTTTCAACAGCAAGTTCGAACTTCTCTATATTAATTTTTGAATCATTTAAATTGTATTTAAGTTTGTCTAAGGACGACCTACGTAACGCTAACAATGAAAACGTTGGCTGTAGATAAGGATTTTCGACATCCGATCATCCCTCATTCTGATGACATGACCAGCCCATCTGAACTGTGATTGCATCAGAAAGGATTCGATACGACCGATGCCATATTGAATATCCATTTTTATATTTATATACGCTCTAGCGCTGATATTGAGTACTTTAACCGTATATAGCATACCGTAAAACTATATATATATATATATATATATATATATATATATATATATATATATATACTCGACGCTCCTGACGAGTTCAATGTATGAGGGTCAAGCAAATCAGTTCCTAGGAAACCGACAGCCCGACAACACTACATGAGATTTGATTATAATGGCGAAGGTTTCGTGCAGGACCATCCACACTTTTTGAAGGGCCGAATACAGAGTCCTGGTTCACTAGGTGCCACAAGGTCTCCAAACGACCCTCCGCAGGTTTTGAATTCAGAGTTGCCCTTCGCCTAGACCAGTTGCCATCCAACGCTATAGAACCCAGTCTGTCCTGCTATTTACCCATAGCTGGAGGGAGAAGAAGAGGATTCGCACCTTTCCCAAGGGTATTAGCACGTAATTAGCTCCGATTCCTCAATCCAATCCACTATCCATTACTCCACCGTGCCTATATATATATAATTAATATGAGTAAAAGCTTGTCAAAAGCTGATTGATGTTACCTTCAGCATCCCGACTCAAGAGTTTCGGAGGCCGAACTGTCCATCCACTCTTCAGAGCGTATCAGCAAATTACTGCTCATATTTTTTTCATTTTTTTCTTTTTTATACACTTTTCATTGAGATAGATAGATAGATAAATAGATAGGTAGATATATAGATATCTGCGTGTGTGTGATTGATTGTTTTTACGGCTTATCAACACTCTGCAGATTATTTAAAGGCAGAAAATATTTTTAATTGCTGGAATTATTTTTTTAGATAATAATGGCTAAGTCTTAATAATTAACCCATAGCTGGGGAAGAAGTGGTGGATTTATAAGCAACTTCGAGTCATTATCCATTACAACCCCTTGCATTCTCCTCTAAGCATTGGCCAAGCTCGACGTTACTTAACTTCTGTAATCGTACGGGAATCGGTGTTTCAACGAGATGTGGCCTATCTGTATGTGTGTGCGTGTGTGTGTCATAAATATTTATTTAAAACTCGTTTCGTGGTAACAACATATATTTGCGATAATGATGTAAAAAGAGAAAAAAAACTGACATCAACTCAAAATAAGCAAATAAATAAGATGACGTCTCCTCCACCCAGCGCTTTCATTGTTGAGGGCCTGGCTTATTTACCTTTTCATTGTCTGACACGCTGATTACCTTTTTATGGCACCTGCGAGATAATTTTGCCACTTTACGCCAATCAAGTCTTTCAAAACGTTTTACGGTATTAAATGAATTTGTCATTATTATTTAGTAACTAACCATAGACAACTAAATAAAGAAAAGTTTACACTGCACAATACTTCTAAGTACCAGAGATCTACATGAGTCTAGTGAGATCTGAATAAAATAATAGATAGATAGATAGATAGATAGATAGATAGATAGATAGATGGAATAGAATTAAATTCGGGATGACTAATATATATATATATATATATATATATATATATATATATATATAGTGAACATTGAAGTCAACACTTAGAGGCAACAGTCTGTTTCATTCAGGCCTGACGATTGCGTCTAGCATGAAACAGACTGTCGCCTCTAAATGTTGACTTCAATGTTCACTTTTATATTTACACATGCTCTATCTCTGATATTGAGCACTTAATCCCATAAATATAGCACACCTTAAGAGTATATTTCTTCACATATATATATATGTGTGTATATATATATATATATATATATATATATATATATATATGTATGTATGTATGTGTGTATATATATATATATATATATATATATATATATGATACAAATTTGTAATTGGTAGTGATAATTCCAAAGAGGACATTAATCCAATGAGAACTCAATGCAATTTACAGAGCAATATATAATGATAAAAAAACATCTTAAAATCCATATCGACTATAATTTATTTCATGAACATCTTTATATTCATCTCTTCAGACTGAAAGTTTTTAAGAAAATCTTTATGAAATAATTTATAACAGATATGGATTTTTAATATGTTTATATATATATATATATATATATATATATATATATATATATAGGTGTGTGTGTGTGTGCGTGTGAGAGAAAGAGAGAGAGATAATAACAATTAACAATAAAATAATCACAACTGCATCCGGATCCAAAATTATTTCCACTCAACATACACTAGAACAATTCGAAACGTAATTGATACTGCCCACCTGAATAACCGTTAGAATAATACAATAGGCCTACCCATAATGCCTCACAGATCTGTATATGTAAAAATAAGTAGGCGAGCAAACACACAATGCACATGTCCAGACAACTGCGTTTAAACTTAAAACAGACATTCACCGCTGGGTGTTGACATCACTGTCCACTTTTATACTTGCAAACACTCTATCCCTGATATACTTAAACCCATAAATATAATATAACTTTAACTATATTTTCATCATCATTATCATATATATATATAAAGAGAGAGAGACAGAGAGAGAGAGACAGAGAGAGGTGGGGGAGAGAAGGGTGAACAGATACAGATAGGGCTTAAGTGTGTGTGTGTGTTTGTGTGATATATATATATATATATATATATATATATATATATATATATATATATATATATATAATAAAGAGAGTGTGAGAGGGAAACAGAAAGGTTACAGGAACAAACTGAAATAGAGTAACAAACAGACTGAGAAAGAAAGAAAGAACGAAATAGACTGAGTAGTGAGTTCGAGCCCCACTGAGTGCTCCGTACTTTCGGCCTTATGCCACACCTAAGATTCGCTTAGAAAATCATTATAAAAGACACACATAATAAAAAACTAAACAATTACATTTGTTGAACTGTTGTCCTCATATTTGTTGCCATATTCTCGAAGTTTCAGCAGTTGTACACTCCGGCCTTCTTCAGGTGATTTGAATTTCGAACTGAACCCTTTATTTTAGTTTCAGTAGGACCACGGATGTGAATGGGGTTGAATGGGTTCTGGTGGTGATTCAGGAAATTATTACAGTGAATGGGTCGCGGGTCTGATTCTTATTATAAATGACCGCTCGTATCCGAGGATGAAATCCCTGTTGCAGACGCCTACTCAGACACATTTGTGTTTGTTTAGCACCCACAGAGTCCACCTGTGGTTTATACTGTAAGTGTGCTGAACTGACCTTCGTTACAGTTTCCGGGAGACAGCGCATTATCTGGCGTGATCAGCAGCCAGTGCAAGAGCAGCGCGCTCATACCCTCAGGAACGATGACTTGTGACTTTGTATGGTTTTCAGGCACTGTCCAAAAAGTGCCGCGCGTAGAGATTGCCGCCCCAAACCGTTCACATCAAGAAATCACCTTCCTGACAAATCGACTAAGGTGAGATTCGAACCTGGGTCTCATGGTCTAAACACTCGTCTATGTGACCATATCAGATAAACTAGGTGTAAATCTGCCTCTATTCACTCTCCCTTCGGCCTTCTGCGACAAAGTAATTGTTGTGTTCTGAAAGAGGTTACAAACAGACAAAGGTCATACTCGACTGAAGGAACAGCAGCACCTGCGTAGATGAAAAAAAGAGAGGTTTATTGTAAATACACTACTGAAAGACAGGGAATCGGGTGGCAGGCTAGTAATTCCCGAAGACAGCCCCAGGTATATTTTGTGCTCACTATATATATCTACTGATATAGTCAGTCCACATAGACGATAGGGAGTATGGGACATTCCATTATAACAGAAAATAATAAAACCCTTTTTATTATTTACATATGGACTATTTTCCTCATCTTTGCAATGTTTCAGCTATTGTGCCTTCCAGCCTTCATCAGGGAATTTATAACTAATTTCAAAATTCTAATTTCAAAATTGATCATAGCCAGTGATCCTTTTGAAACATACCTTTGGATAATGAGATAAATGCAAGCAAAGCAATAATGCTACTAAGACGCAAAGGATTAATAGGAGTGAAAAAAAAACGAGAAGTGAGGAGAAAGGACAATAAAAGAACAGGGTCCAGGAAGGTAGAAGATGGCAATTGACATTGCATTTAAATTTTGAAATATTATTGGTGGTAAGGAAGCAAGTAATTGGAAGAGAGTTCCAGAGATGTACAAGAATAGAGAGTGTGACTGCTGAAATGCTGTGATGGTAACAACAAAGATGAGGACAATAGTCTGGATGTAAATGTTGTATTCTCAAAGAGGTTACAAATAGACAAAGGTCGTACTCGAGTGAAGGAACATGAGCACGCGCGTAGATGAAAGAAAGAGATACACTACTGGAAGACAGGGAATCGGGTAACAGTCTAGTAATTCCTGAAGAAAGCCTCAGTTATACTTTGTGCTCACTATATGTAGCCACTGATATAGTCAGTCTACATAGACGATAGGGAGTGTGGGACGTTCCATTACAACAGTAAGTATTTATATTTTATTTAAATAAACATTCCCATTAGGATTTGAACAACTATTAAAAAAAAGAAAATGAGATATCACTAGACATAGCTAGCAGAAGAGAACAATCTGCTCTCGTTGGTTGAATAAAGGGTTCAGTTCCAAATTCCTTGTAGGTTACTCGGATTGATAGACGCCTGAAGAAGACTAGGAGAGGTAATGGCTGAAACGTTGACATAATATCAGCAATGATGACATACGAGGGTAATTCAAAAAGTTCTAAGCCACACCCAGAATGAAGAGCCATAAGTGAACATTTTTGTTGTGGTAATACATTACCACTTCTTATAAAACGAGAAAAACTGATTCAGATTTCTGTCTTGATTTCTGGTGAGGCCTATACATCTGTACGACAAATCTAAAAATGAACAACACAGAGGCACAAGTAGTCATAATATTTATACAAAAAAAAAAGTATGAGACACAAAGAAAATCCATGAGGACATTTTACATAATGCAAATTGTCTGTATGGTCTAAAAAAAATGCTGAAAAAGGTTGGCATTTCCAAGACATTTCTGACTCGCTCCCAAAATGACTCTGAGAATTTCCACCGCAGATTAATAACTCAAGATGAAACCTTCGTTTACCACTTCGAACCTGAATCAAAGATTAAAAGCAAACAGTGGAAACATTCGGGTTCTCCAAGCAGGCAGCATCTATTGGCAAGGTGACGTCTGGCTGTCCAACAGATAGCTAAACCCATAGTCATTAGTTCTGGTTCGGTCCATACTATTTGAGCTGACATCTTGGGGATGAGCAAGCTGTCTGCAAGATGGCACCAAAGAATGGTGATAGATACCAATAAATGTTCAGCTATGGCTCTTCTTTCTGGTTGAGGCAAGGCAAATGCAATCATTTGCTTTGATAAAGTTCATTTTTCCCTGAGATTTCCTTTAGATAGATAAACCCATAGTTATTAGTTCTGGTTTGGTCCATACTGTTTGAACTGACATCTTGGAGAAGAGCAAGCTGTCTGCAAGATTGGTCCCAAGAATGCTGACACTAGAGCAAAAGCTGAAAAGGGTTTGACATTTCCAGAACATTTCTGACTCGCTTCCAAGCTGACTCTGAGAATTTCCACCGCGGATTAGTAACTCAAGATAAAACCTTCGTTCACCACTTCGAACCTGAATCAAAGATTCAAAGCAAACAGTGGAAACATTCGGGTTCTCCACCTACGAAATTCAATTAGGCGGCGTCTGTTGGCAAGGTGATGACTTCTGTTTATTTGCGATTCTCAACACGTAATCATGAATGACAACCTGCATAAGAGAAAATAAATTATTAATGGACAGTAATATAGAACAATTAAGACAACTGAAGGAAGCAATCAAGTTGAAACGCAGTGAGAAGATGAGCACAGGTGTGCGCTTGTTTTAGTATGATTCCCCTGTTCACAGTGGTTCGTCTGTAGTAGCTGAAACAGCCAACTGTGATTTTGAATTGCTACACCACCCACTTTACTCACCAGACTTATTTGTTCCTGTTTCCTAAACTCAAATCCAATCTGCGTGGTTACCATTTTGTAAACAATGATGAGATCATATGTGTTGTGGAGGTTTTGGAGGATCAAGAAGTCACCTTTTTCTGTGATGGGATTGCAAAGCCTAACCATCGTTGAACAAAGTGTACTGACGTCAAGGCTGGCCCTATATTGAAAAAAAATGGAAAACTGTTTTTTTTTTCTTCAACTGATTTTGGTTTAGGGTTAGAACTTTCTGAACGACTCTCGGAAGCCCAACTATAAATTCCTCGCCCCTGAAAAAAAAAAAAAAAAAAAAAAAACATAGTAAATCTTGATTTAGAACGAGATGCTTTCGGGTCAAATCAACATCGTTTTGGTTGGCACAAACTTAAATAATATGAAACCCAGTCTCTCTGCGGGTGGTGTTTATCTTGAAAACCTAATATTTCTCCGAATTTCTCCGATAAAAGCGTGGTAGGGAATTCGTACCTCAACGGGATATTGATAATAAAAAAAAACATATCCGTGGGCGGTCTCACATGAGAGCAAAGTTTAAATTACAACAATAGGAAAACTAGTAATTGCTGACGCTTTTCGTCCAATGTGGACTTTATCAAAGCAAAATACGAAATGAATTTAATTGAACAGCGTAACTAATAAAAACAAAAAAACAGAATGTTCCTAGCAACTGCAATGTAGAGAAACGCTATTTTCATATTGTTAACTGGAAATAACGTCAGTATTTGTCACGTGTGGAGAATATTGTCGTTATATCTGTGTTGTTGTATTCAACTATTTTCTTTTGATTTTATGAATCTGTTGTGTACATTTGTTTGTGAGAGCAGTAATTTTGTTAAGGTGAAATGGGGAAAAACTGGGCGCAGATTAATATTTGGGTAATAATCTATGGCAGCACTCTCTAGAATTTTCCTTGAGTAAGTTATTTTCTTTTTATGAGTGTAGCATTTTAAAATCAAAATTATGAAGAGGATTCATACATTTCCCAAGGATATTAGCACGTAAGTGACTGTAATAGAATTCTATCTCGTGTAATAGATAATAAATAGGTATCGTTAAATACATTTAAATATATATATATATATATATATATATATATATATATATATATACCGGGTGTAACGGTGAAATTGTCCATGTGGTATGATAACAAAATTGTCTGTTATATTAAGCATTGAACCGTTGTATTTTAGAAATGATTAAAGATATCTTACTGGAATTTTCCGAGGTGTTTTATAACACTATTGGACTATACTCTGAACAATAAGAATGTAATTGGCTCTAAAATGAAATGATGATTCTTCGTCCTTTCTTTTTTAAACTTATTCATCGTTCTCTGGTTGGTTCTTGAATGGACTTTGGAGATAGAAGCCAGAGTATGAATGTTGGTACCATTAGTGAAGGCCTGAAAGATCTTTTTCTTCTCACCATTGTTCAGTTAGGAAGACATAGTGTAGCTGACAAGAAAAAAACGATTTCAGAAGCGATTCTTACGACAACCGGCTTATCTTGTCTTATATGAAAACCTGGAAAAAAGAAACTCAATTAGTTCAGTGATTTTTTTTTATTTTTTTTTTTTTTTGTTTTTATTAGATATGAAATATTTTGTGGGATGTACGATTATGCTGTTACAGGATTTTGGACAATTTTGCTGTTACAATCGGTATATATATATATATATATATATATATATATATATATATATATATATATATAATTATTTATTTAAAAATATGATTCCAACCCTATATAAGAGTTCTCATGTTTCAAAACAAGAGCCGAAAACTTCAATATAATTATTTGAATTAAATTGAATTAAAGTACTAAGCTCTGTTCCATCTTCAAGCGAAATTTTTTTTGGAATAACTGATTCCTGAAATTTACGCGTTTTATAAGCATATTCATTATTAAAATTAAAATTACTATGGTAACGGCTAGAGCAATTATTTAAAGAAAAGGGGCGTAAGGGTTAATAATTTGTATCAATATGCATTCAATTTAATATTTTTGAACAAATAATTATATTTATGCTCTCGGTATTGTATCGAGCACTATTTTTTAAAAATAATAACAAAAATACTAAAGAACATTGGATTATTTACCTAACGAGTTCTTTCCTATTTTCTATATATTTTTAGACACACACACACACCACACACACACACACACACACATATATATATATATATATATATATATTAAGAAATATATGTATATATAAATAAAAAGAACAGTAAGGTATATAATCCGTTGTTCTTATTGATATTTTTTTTATTTTTACAAAACAGTGCTCAATGTAAATTTACAGAGCATAAATACACAGTGATAACCATGTTTTAAAAACTGAAGCTAAAAGTTTAAAATTTAATTATATAATTAAATTAAAAGCATTAGTTCTGTTTCATCTTCAAGCGAATTTTGGAATAACTTATTTTTAAATTTACTGAGTTTTAAACGCACATATAAATTCATAATTTCCCATTTCCAAGGATACAGAGAAATCCAATCATTCAGACAAGGGCAGTAGCGTGTTCATTTTTATTAACTATTGTTGTATCAATTATGAGTTACGTTCGAAAAAGAGGTTAAATTTAGGGAGGGTAGGGGTGTATTTTTCAACGAATTCTGACATCCATTAAATGCATGTCGTCTGGGGTTTTTTTTATTAACAGCAAAAAGGTTTTCGGCATTTTTTTCGTACTTGCATACTTAAAGATTCAATTTTGGCGTGTTTGGGTTAGAATACGTTTTTATTTAACTACAATTTTAAAATACTTTTACTCTTAATTACTAATAGACTATATTTCTTTTTAAAACAAGTAAATGTAATAGAATTACTTAAATTATTTAAAATTACTTTTTCAGATCAAATTTTAGTATGTATATTACCAGCTCCCATTTTTTAATTTTATTTTAAATTTTATTCTTAAATATTATTTCAGTAAAGTTTCTGACAATGACGGCAAAGAAATAGCTATTTCATTTCTAATTGCATAACTCTGAGTATCAAGTGATGGAATTATTATTTTTATTTAAAAAAATTAAAATAACAATTCCGCTACTTGACAATTGTTTCGGTGTAAATTCGGACTTATGGAATTAATGTAAGGTATTATATATATTTCTTAATATATATATATATATATATATATATTAAATACCTCTGTTATTTAACTCTAACACTATAAAGTATTTATATCTATTTGTATACGATCGGTCACTTGTAAATCTACCTATATTTACCCATTCGTTTATATATAAGAGAAAGAAATATTGATGAACAGAGTGAGATAGATAGATAGATAGATAGATAGATAGATAGATAGATAGATAGATAGATAGATAGATCCGAACGGTCTGAGATAGACACAAAAATACTTATAGATAGATAGATATGAACGTTATTATAGATAGACACAAAATAATTATAGATAGATAGTAAACAGTGTGATAGATAGATAGATAGATAGATAGATAGATAGGGCGACAAAGAATTTAACCTCTACTAACAAAGAAAGCCAAGGAAACGTTAGTATTTTGAGGGAAAAGATTCTACGAAAACGTTTATTTCTAGAGGGAGATTTCGCTATAAATGAATCGTTGATTCCGGGGCAGAATAATAAAAGACGGAATGCAAGTTAAAACACAGAGAAAAAGAAAAGAAACAAACGAGAAAGCACAAAAATAAAACATCTACAAATAAAATCCAACAGAAATTTAAAAAAAATATGATCGGAAAATGAAATAAAAAAAGAACATTCATAAGTGAAAAAGAAAATACGTCATGTAAATGATGTTAAGAAAGAAGCAAAGAATAAAAGATGCCATTTACTGACAGCATAGAAATGCAAATAAAGAATATCAACAGAACAAAGTGCCGAAATCTCGGACCGTTTAGCGTCAATGAATGGAATATTATCTCTCCACTTAGGGTGTTTTTCTAGTAATACATAAAAGGACGGCTGTTTCTTTCTAATACTGTATACTGTTAAGACTTGAACAGTAAACGAAAGCTCAGGGTGGCTCAAGGCAAGGGAGGCTGGACGCTTCAAGAATTCAAGACCGCTCCAGTTCCATTCACATCCGCACCTTTTTATTCGCCGAAGAATTTTTTTTCATCAAAGAATCAGCCGTCAGCAATTTCTTCAGCGCGGTCTTTAATTCTTAAAACCAATTCAAGATGGAGGAAAGTAGGTGGAAAAACAAAACCCTACTGAGTTATCTCCCTTTTATGACGGTTTTTTCCCCTCTTTGTGACCAGATTCTTTTTTTTTTTCGGTTTTCCTTTATGCAATTTTATATTGTTTACTTCACTTCCTTGGTACACCGTTTTGTTTTTTGTTTTTTTTTTTGTTTTTTTTGTTTTGTTTTGTTTTGTTTTTTTTGGTTTTGTTTTTTATTATTTTATTTTAGAGGCAGTCTAAGAAGTCACTGAGAGTCTGGAATGTTGCTGTAGTCGACAGTGAAATAAGTTATTTATTAATCCTGTTTTTGTAACTACCTATTTCAAGTCCTTATTCTTTGTGATATACCCATTCTTACTATATTACCTAGCCTCCAAACTCAATCAGAGTCAACCGTTTTCTGACCCATACTAACATCAATAGCCTTTTTATAATTTCAATGTTATTAAATGTCCTTGCTTATGCGTTCAGCAAAACAAAACTGAAAATACAGTCTTCCTGACTTGAAAGATATATCTACGAAAGGAAAACTACTTAAATATGTTTTCAATATAAGGAAGCCCAAAGATATGAATACAGGATTCAAGCTGACCAAAGTTGTAGCTTCGTGGGAGAGAGGTAATAATGACTCAGTCAATTCTATTTCAAGGGCGTGAGTCCATTAAAAGGTATTAATAAACTCACAAAAATAGTGACAAGCAGATGAATATCTTTATAGCAAGTGACATAGGTTTATTCGTCTACTAACTTTTAACCGCCGTAACACTTTAATACGAAATATATATATATATTGAAATAAATAAATTCCCAAGAGGATAGAATCCAGGTAGAACTCAATGTCCAGGACAGAGTTAAAATATAATATAAAAGGCTCAAACATTAATATTCCACGGTTATAATTTATTACATCAGAATCATAATTACGATCTGATTCATCAGACCTACAAATTAGAAAATGACATATATATATATATATATATATATATATATATATATATATATATATATATATATTTTTCGATTATAGGTGCTGTTCAACTTATAATTACATATATATATATATATATATATATATATATATATATATATATATATATATATATATATATATATATATATATATATATATATATATATGTATATTAACATAAATATATATATATAAACATAAATATATTTATATAAATATATATATATATATATATATATATATATATAAAATATATATATAAAACATATAAATATATATATACAAAAAAAATATATATATAAATATATATATATAAATATAAAAATATATAAAATATATATATATATATATATATATATATATATATATATATAATAAAGAAACAATTTATACAAAGAATTAAATAGCAACGTTAATGTGATTGATGGTGAAATCACATTTCATTAAGTTCTGTTAGCGAAGTGATTTCGCCATTAATCACATGATTGCTATTTGATTCTTTGTATAAATACATTCTTTATAAAATAAAATATAATCTGCAGACAGTAATATATATATATATATATATATATATATATATATATCATAAAACCCTGTTAAGGGTCCTGCGACCAGGAGAGGACATTCCAGCATTGCCTCACCGCGAAGACAAAACACAGAAAGCAACAGTCTAATGATATTAGGATGGAAGGATTCCGAGGGTCCTTCCGTGTAGGAAACATGCCACAGGCGAGAGGACGACATCATATTCGCTTCAAAGACGTCTGCAATATGGACATGAGCGGTGTTGGACATGGACATCGAGAGGTACGAAGAGGTCACCAGCGATCGCTCATGCTGGAGACGCGATTTACACCGAGGGCTAGAGGATGAGAGAAGAAACGGAAGCTTGACGCCTGTGTGAAGAGTGCTCGAAGGAAAGAAAACAACACAGGGACATCGTGCTAGAGCCTCGTCACATGGATTGGTTGCCATCCAGATTGACACTCCTGTGTGGGTCTGTACAGCCATAATAGATGCTTCGCCACCATCAGCAACTGAGATATAAGGTTTTCGGCGCAGATCCAGGCTCTCGCGAGATGCCACACACGCACACATACACGCATGCACACGCACATATATACATACATACAGTGCAATCTCGGTTCTCGAACGTCTCACATGACGAACCTTGCTAACCGAAACGCTCCTCTGTGGCCCAATCGGTTAAAGGCACGTCAGGTAATATGACGGTTCCGTATAGGATACAGGTTCGATTCCTGTCGGAGGGCGCATCTTTTCTATGACAATTTCTCGGACATTCAGGCCGGTAAATGTTGTTTAATACTGTTTATTATAAACAGAGCATTTACTTAAATATTTGTATCTATAAAAAGAATGTATAAACATAAAACGTCTTAAAATAATTCTCGGACTTTGTCCATTTCATCATATATATATATATATATATATATATATATAATTACAAATTTAATAAAACCTATCGAAATAGCCAAAATTAAGGAATTATTTTTATGTTAATGTGAGTAAAATTTTGTCAAGAAAGCGACCAATAGGTTGTTAGTGTGTTAAACATCAATCAAAGAATATTCAAGTCATTATGTACGACACACTTCGAAGATTGGCGAATATACCGCTCACAAGGTTCAAATAAAACTATTGTATTAGAGCGGAGGAAAGCAAAAAAAGAGGAAAAAATGATGCCTGAGATAGATAGATAGATAGATAGATAGATAGATAGATAGATAGACAGATAGATAGATAGATATGAACTGAGACAGAGAGAGAGAAACAGAAACAGAAAGACAGAGAGTCAGACAGACATAAAATACATGTAGATAGATAGATAGATAGATAGATAGATAGATAGATAGATAGATAGATAGATAGATATGACAAGAATGAGATAGATCGTTACATACATACATACATATATAGATAAATACATACATGCATACATACCAACAGACTGGTATATAGATAGATAGATAGATAGATAGAGAGAGAGAGAGAGAGAGGGGGGAGAGGGAGAGAGAGAGATAGAAAGACAGGAAACAGTCAGACACAAAAATAGATGTAGATAGATAGATAATGAACAGAAAATCTTAGATTTCTCTAAAGACATAGATAGATAGATAGATAGATAGATAGATAGATAGATATATAGATAGGGTCGGCAAACGTATAAAATGCATTTCAAGTAAACACTTTCATATATTACATCATATACTTATTATTTTATGGATTTTATGCATTTCTTCTTTTTCCTTTACTTTTGAAAGCAATATATGACTTATGAAAATAAATTCAATTTTATTATCAAGCTCATTGTGAACTCCGATTTGCGACAGATGATAAAAATATAGTATTAATGATATTCTTTATTTATCGGTAATAATGATCAATATCAGGTATTGTGCTTGAGCGCCAGATGTGTTGCGTCGTGGTTCAACTATTAAAATCAACTTTCACACACACACACACACACACACATATATATATATATATATATATATATATATATATATATATATATATATATATATATATATATATATATATAAAGTGGACATTAAACTCAACACCAAATGCGACAGTCTGTTCATGCTTAGCCGTAATCGTTAGGCATATGGCCTAATGATTGCGTATAAGAATGAAACAGTTTGTCACCAGCGGGTGTTGGCTTCAATGTCCACTTTTATTTTTACGTACACTCTATCTCTGATATTGAGTAGTTTAACCCATAAATATAGCAGACCTTAAAACTATATTTCATCATTCATATATATATATATATATATATATATATATATATATATATATATATATATATACGTGTGTGTGTGTGCATGTATGTATGTAAAATTTCTTCAGTTTTTACACTATTTTTCTCCAGAAAAGAAAACACTTATACAAACGCAAGAAAAATTAAATAAAAGCTTAATCGCAGTCCCTTGCTATTTGTCTTTAATGAAACATGTATAAAAGAAGGATTGCTGGCCAAATACCCAAACATATTTGATTTATTTACTTCGATCTTTACGCGGTGAGCCGCGATAACCGGTTAACTCATATCTTTTTTTTCTTCTTACTAAAACCTGGCAACGTTTCGACTGCGTGAAAGGGCTTGTAGGGTGGGAAATGCCTCATCACTCAAAAGGCGGTGTAATCCCTTTTGAACTCTTTCATGAGCTCTACATTAAAGACTATTCAGCTCCGGCATAGAGATTGCAGCAATACTCCATTCTTGGTCTGATCAACAAAAACCACCTAAACCTTCATGCTATCCGTACCAACTTCTGCAGTATTTAATCGTTCCTCTTCGTAAACTCTCCGGACGTCTCACTGCGGAACTAATCTTAACTCTTCAATCCTCTCCTCTGAATTCTCTATATGTGGATATCTTGCTCTCTTTAGGAAGGATTATAATGTCCACATGCATGTCTTGGGTGTTCATGTCCGTGAACAGCTTCCGCTGGCTCGGGAGCTCTTTCTTTAATCGCTAGACCATACTTACATGTGTCTCCGTCACTCTCTACTAAATACAGTCAGCTCTCTCCGCCCCCTTCATCTCATGACTGTTGCGTACTAGATAGTGTTTCTAATATTTCTGCCTACATCTATTTGCAAATATATTTGTGTTCGGTAACTTTAATGCCCATCATGCCAGGTGGCTTAAGCACTCCGTCGCTAAACTCGCTGGCGTTCAAATCCTAAAGTTCTCAATCACTCGATCTCTAACGCAAGTGGTGGACTTCCCCACGCGTTTCTTTAGTAACCCTGATGGAAACGGTTCTAGATCTCTTTTTTACTTCATGTCCTACTATACAGCTCTGCCATCTTGGCAACTCTGATCATGTGGTAGTGTCTGTAAAGATCCCTTTCCGCTCCCCTACCAAACAAAAACCGCCTACCAATAGAATATCTTTGTGCTGTCAAAGAGCGGATAGGGACACGTTCTGTGGTTTCCTTTGTGACGTCCCTTAGAATGAAGTTTTTAATCTTCCTCTTCAAAAATGCGCGTCTGGGGTCTCCTGCTGCGTGAAAACCGGTATCGATGCTTTTATTCCAGCAAGGAAATATCGTTAAATTGCGTTCATCACCTTGGTCTTTACCTGAATGCTCGTCTGCTATAGTCCACAGGAATCATTTCTTACACCAGAGCGACACATCTGATTGCAACCGACGTCTCTTTGTTTCTGCTCGTAATGAGTGCAAGCGTGCCATCAAAGAAGCGAAGTTGCTGTTTGCTGATAGAATAAATCAACGTATAGCATCTTGCACGTTCGGTTCTAGAGATTACTGACGGCTCTGCAAGAGTTTGCTGAACAGAAGCAAATCCTCAATCCCTCTTCTATTCAATCAATTGGAAGTTCTGATATCTAGAACAGATAAGGTTGAATACTTTGCTCGGAAATTCTCTTCCGACTCAACTCCCGACTCATTTGGAGTACCCACATCTGATTTACTCAACAGGGCAGAGATTCTACTCAGTGATGACACTACCATTTACTCCTGTCTCAATAGAAAATCCTGCAGAGCTAAGTTAATCTGGCTACGGTTCTTGAAAAGGACCTCCAATCTGTGGTTAACTGGGGCAAGAAATGGCTTGTAAATTTTAATGCCTCCAAAACGAAACTGATCTCATTTAACCACCATAGAGAAACTTCCCCGCTCGCCATCAGCATGGCTGATGCTAGACACCTGGAGAGTAACACACTACGGCTTCTTGGTGTCACGTTTTCAACTAACTTGAAGTGGACCGTCTACATCGAATCAATAGCTGCATCTACTGCAAGAAAAGTTGGATCACTGTGTCGTGCCAAAAGGTTTTTCTCATCAGAGTCCATTTTGCACATTTACAAATCTACCATTCGTCCGTGCTTTGAATACTGCTATTAATCTCCAGGTTCTTGACAAAATTGAAAGAATGATCTGCAATGTTATCGATCCTGACTTGGCATCTCGGTTTCAGTCACATTCTCAACGACGTGACGTGGCTTCCTTCTATCTTTTCTATCAATATTTTCATAGAAACTGTTCTGATGAGCTTTTCTTCCCTTGTGATACGTGAGTTTAAGTGTGCTACTAGATTGGCATGTAGGTCCCACACTTTTACTTTTGAATTAATTAACTGTAACCATCTTCTTCTAATCCAACAGTTTCTTTTCTCGCACTTCCCGCCTGTGGAACTCTCTTCCGTCTCCTTGCCTCTATGATGACTATAATCTCCAGAAATTTAAATGCAACGTCAATTGCCGTTTTTCATCTTCTTGAACTCCTATCAGCTTTTATCCTTTCTGCTCCCCCCTCACTTTTACCCAGACATTTCTCTCACTTTTACTCTATGTATCCCCTGCGTACTGGTGGCATTCCCACCTTCCTTGGGGTGAAATCATAAAAAAACGGGAAATATTAATAATAATAATAATAAAAGGAATAATAAACTAACTGATATTTTTATGATTATTTTTATCATTTCCTTAGATTTCTGTTGTATACACATTTCCCGATCCCAACAAGAGACCTAAGGTCAGAAATGGCTTCACAACATTTTCTACTGATCATGCATGTAAGAAAAAAAAAACCTATGATGCACACGCATTTTACATAGATAAAGCTCTTTGTAATGTGTGAGCTGTACTTGTGAGTACAATTTATTATTATTATTATTATTATTGCAATTTCTTCTTCTTTTACCTCAATATTTTACAAATAATTTATTTTTACTTTTTTTTATTTTATTTATCATGTAAGTTGAGTAGTTCCCCATAAACCGGAACTGACGTGTGCGCATGCGTGACGTATTTAAAACTATGGCTGAAGAAAAGTTTTGTTCTTTCATCTCTAAGAAAACGATGAAATGACAGATGTTTTTCTTCGTCTTCTTCCTTCTTATTTCTTTTATTGTTCTGTTATTCACTAAATCATTTGCCTCTCCCTAACCCTCCCCATAACATGCGCGCATGCCCACACATATCTTTATATATATATATATATATATATATATATATATATATATATATATATATATATATATATATATATATATATATATATATATATATATATATGCGCGGTTTGTTTTAAGACCAACGAAAGTTTTATTTATGTAATTATGTATATTTTTCCATGGTTTCGACAAGTTCTTTTTAGCTTTCCGGGTAAAATTGGACCATTAATCGTCCAATGATTTTCTTTTTTTTTTTTTTTGTTTTTTTTTTAGCGGTGGGGTGAGTGTTTACAACGTTTGCATTCTGACAATGTGACCCGGGTTCGAATCTCACCATGCTCGATTTGCCAGGAAGCAGAGTTCCTGATGTTATCAAACTGGAGGGGTCGATCCCAGCATGCAGAACCTTTGGAAAATGCCTGTAAGCATTCCACGGTTTGACCCAAGCCTTGTGAGTGAAATTGAGTAGCCGGATCCTTTGGGAGCCGTCGATAGCTGTGCTAGCACGAAGTCACAAGTCATCGTGACCGAGGATTTGAGTGTGTTGGCCTTGTTCAGACTGTGGATCACGCTAGATAACACGCTCTTTCCCAGACATTGATCTGCTCAGTATATTTGCAGTATAAATCACAGATGGGCTCTGTGGGTGTTGAATAAGCAAAAATGCGCCTGAGCAAGCGTCTGCAATAGGGATTGGCTAGCTTCCCTAGTAGACAGTTATCCTCGAATACGAGTAGCCAGCTAAACATTTATATGCGATTCGCTTTAAAACCAACGAAAGTTCTTCATTTATGTATATTTTTAACACGGTTTCGACCAGTTTTTCGCTTTCCGGGTAAAATTGGACCATTAATTGTCCAATGACTTTCTTTTCTTTTCTTTTTTTATTGTTTCACTCCAATTTCCCCCAAAGCAAGGTAATAAAGCCACTAAGATGCAATGGGTTATATAGTGTGGAAGAATATGAGAAGACAAATGTTATTAAAGAGGGAGAACTACACAAAAACATGGATGACACAGGAAGATAACGAATGACATTGCATTTAAATTAAAGTTGACTCGAAAGCAAGAAACCGGGAGAATTCCACAGGCGAGAAGTGCTAAAGGAGAAACTGTTAGCATGGATATCATGGTTACATCTAGCCATTCCAACAGCCAAATGATGAGACCTATCTGCCAATCTAGTAATGCACTTAAATTCCTAACGTCAAGGCACCAAAGAGGTAAGTTCATAAGAACATTTACCA